TCAAAAAAAAAAAAAAAGAAAAAAGAAGAAGAAAAACTACCCTGACTAATAATTAATATACTGTCCCTTCCTTGGTTAGTTTCACATCATGTATGGTCTGTCCCTTACAGTTCTAACGAAAAGATGTATTCTCCATCAAACCACTATTTATGCAGCAAGTTTTTTGTTTTAATCTGCTCAAATTCATCTGCTTTATTTCATTTGAAACCACTGTGGAAAGTGATTTCTGAATCCTAATTCTGTGTCTTAAAGAAACTCTCCATCCATCCATCCATTCATCCAATAATTACTTACTGAACCTCTACTCTGTGCTGGGTACTAGTGCGGGCGCTGAGGAAGTATCAGCAAACAAAACAAAAGTCCTTCATGGTGATTACATTCTAGAGGTGGAAGCAGATGGAGGTGGTGGGGAACATACTATCTCGGGTGATCAAAAAGTCTTAGGACAAAAATTAAGCATGGAAGGATAGAGCAAGGACTGTAATTTTAAATGGAACTGGCAGGAAAGGCCTATAAAGCAGCAGCTATTTTTGGCAAAGGCCTGAAGGAAGTGAAGGAACCAGCCAACAAGATAACATAGGGAAAGAATATTCTAGGCAGAGAGAGCAGCAAGAACAAAGGCCTTGAGGCTGGAAAGCTAAGCCAGCCCCTAGCCCCATAAGCAACTCATCAATGAGCCAGAGCTCCAAAAGCCTCCACCAGGGACCTCAGAGAGACTTGGGGACCTAGAAACCTCCCCCTCAAGATCACCACCAGCAAGGCAAAAGCTGTTCTAGTCAGGAATACTCAAAGGCCGTTTCAAATCCACGAAGTGCTCAATGAAAGGAAAAAAGTGAACAAGGATTAATAGCACCACCACCATTCATTCATCATCTGTTTGCCAGGCACTGCCTTAAATGCTTAAAAGCTATACAACAGGGCAGCACCTGTGGCTCAGTGAGTAGAGCGCCAGCCCCATATACCGAGGGTGGCGGGTTAGAACCTGGCCCCGGCCAAACTGCAACAAAAAATAGCTGGGCATTGTGGCAGGCGCCTGTAGTCCCAGTTACTCGGGAGGCTGAGGCAAGAGAATCGCCTAAGCCCAAGAGCTGGAAGTTGCTGTGAGCAGTGACACTACGGCACGCTACTGAGGGCAACAAAATGAGACTCTGTCTCTTTAAAAAAAAAAAAAACTACAAAACTACACAACAACCCTAAGATACATATGACTACCATCATCATTTTATAAGGGAGAAACTGAGGTTCAGTGAGGTTACATAACTCAGCCCTGATTATATCTCTAGCAGGTGAGAGCCAAGATGCAAAGTCAGCTCCTCCTACTGCCTAAAAAGGCTGAAACTAACCCCCTGCTATATACACACAGCCAGGACAGGGAGGCACAGATGCACAGGTGCAGAGAGGGAATCCAAGTCTGTTAGCAGGGCAGCACCAGGCTTTTAGGTAAGCCCTGGGCTGTTTCCCAGAAGGTTAGTGGAATGGCATGAGCCAAAATGGAAAACTAAATTCTGTGAAGCAAGACCTCCTCCCCCAAAGAGTGAAAAGCAGAATCAATGGGCACTGCAGGTGGCCCTCTGCCCCACAGGCAAAGGACAGCTGCCCACATGCCCACATTACAAAAGTCATCCCTGGGTTGGGGAGTGATTTGTTTTTAACCAGAAAGGTGAATGTTCCACAGCAAACAATCAAGCTCAGAAGTAGCCAAAGCCCTTAGCACAATGACTGTCATATAATAAGGTACACAAAACCACTGGAGATACGGGGCCCTTACCCTCTCTCACCCTTCTCCTCACAGGCCTTACCACCCAGCATGGGATGTATTTAGTTAGTGTGAGCATTGCCCATTTGACTGGGAACTTGCTCAGGCAGGAGCCTGCTGCATGCCCCTCATATTCCTATAGGGAGTGCGGGAGGGTAGGCCACCATGAGAATTGCATGGGGTTCACTATCGAGGAAACAGAGGGCTGGGAGGAGCTTTCACCACTCTCCATGACAAGGGCAATAGTGCCCTGGCTTCCTGCCCATCACTTTGTATGAACCCTAGAAGGAATTCATAACAGACACTAGGTGATGGTTTGGGTAATCTTTTATTCCATCTGGATTGCCCCATAGATGGAAAGTTCCATGAGAGTAGGCAGCAAGTCCATCTCGTGTGCCTTGGCATTCTCACAGGGGTCCAGAGTACAGCCTCAATAAACCTCTAATTCGTAGAAGGACCTGAAGTGCCCTTGACCCTGACTCTGCCTCCCACTGACTAGAAACATGACCATAAGCTTCTGGAATCAAGGCAGGCACAGCCATTCTACCTCAAGATGTATGATGCCAAGATGTATAGCCAAGCAACAGATCAGGCCACAAGATAAGGGAACTGAAACCCACTTCCATGCCCTCCATGTCCTCCAGACCATGCCACGCCCAGTCTGTCTTTTGGCTCTGCGGAGCCAGCAGGGAAGGGGGCTCATGAGAAGAAGAAAAGTGAGGAGAGAGGGCTGTCCTCCCCATGCTATCCTCAGTGGACAGGGCTTGTTGGCAGAGAACAAGCTGTCAGGCAGTAAGTGGGCAGAAGAAACTTGGAAGAAACAGCCTATTGTCTGGGGGCCATGGCTCACGCCTGTAATCCCAGCACTCTGGGAGGCTGAGGCAGGTAGATCACCTGAGCAAGAGACCATGACTCTTCCAAAAATAGACAAACTATCTGGCATTGCTGTGGACAGCTGTAGACTCAGCTACTCAGAAGGTTGAGGCAAGAGGATTGCTTGTGCCAAATAGTTTGAGGTTGCTGTGAGCTGTGATGCTGCGGACACTCTACCTGGGGTGACAGAGTGAGACACTATTTCAAAAAAACAAAAGGAAGAAATAGCCTATTGTGAGAAAACGCTCTCTGGATATCAGCAGGGTTGCCCGAGGCAGGGCCTGGACTTCTGGAGGAAAGAAAGAGAAAGAAATAGGGAATTTCCAGGTCCTGTTGACCTCATGCCCAGATGGTCAGTGGCAGCCCCAAGATGACTGCTGGGCGATGGGAACGCTCCTTCTGGTCAGTGAGGTTTTCATAACCTCTCCTAGAGAGAGGAATGATCTAAGGAAGACAGAGCTGGAAGGGAATCTCCAAAGGCCATGAGGCCAATCCCACACTCAGGTGGGAGAGATACATCCAGAGGGAGTGAGTGAGGGGCTGAATCAGACACAAGAACAGCCTGTGTGTCCCCTCCATCACACACCATGAGAGTGTGTATGGAAAGGGGACCCAACCCCTCACATGGAGCAGTATCTGGAATTCAGAGCCTCAGAGTCCTTGGGCATAAACTCATCTGATTCTCTCACAGACCACAAGCAGGGCAGGCAGTCA